AACATTTTCCGCCTTGCCAAAGGGGAAGAGGTATCAAGAGGCATAATTATGGCAATTCTGCTAACATTTCTTCTGACCGAAGGAACGATTTCACTTGCTGTTTCGTGCCTAACTTCTCCTGCCTCAGTCTTACTTTTTCTATTGTTACAGTGACTCTGAGTGAAGATGAGCCAAGGGCCAATACACTGGTAACGCCAAGACTACCACCACACACATTTGAACGAACCATCACCTACTCAATATTTGGTGAGGTTTCCACTCCAGAGTTCGGCAAAATGCTTTGCTATTTGGTACAAATTTCTGGCTTCTAGTTTATAAACGTGGTTTTATCATATCCTTCTATAGAGGAAGGCCTATGAAGATTTTTCTAAAATGGGGAAGTTTCTCTCTTTACTATATGAGAAAGAGGAATATTTTCCCCACCTCTATAGATCTTGAAATCACTGTAGTCTTCAGGAGTTCTGAGATGATTAAAATTAAATTTCAATAATGGGTTATTCATGGATATATCTAAAACTAGATAATTCCAATCTTTTCTACAAGTAAGAAAATGATGCACATGTTCATCAATTTGTTTTTTATAGTGTCACTTTAGTTAGTGGTCAAAACTAGAAGGTTTCATGTCTTTGAATAACGATCAAGATGTTAAGTAGGTACTTCACAAATCAGTATCATTAGATCATTTAGAAGATTTGCAGTACATTAGAATTTTCTAAAATTCGAATCATATGCTGTTAAATGCTACTAATTTATTATGGATTTGTTTCTTTAATTAATGGTTTTTGAGGAAAGGTGTTTTAAGAGGTGCCAGTAAATAATTTTGTGCTAAAGCTTTTCTTCCATATATGTTTTCTTCAGTGAGTAAGATTCTCATGATGGATGTTCGCTGACCATGAATGTTCATTTTCTCTTTCTTAATATCTATACAAAGTATAACCATTGCTCAGGAAGAGATGTCATCAACAACTAGCCTTCTTTAATGAAAGGAAACAGGTATCTTAATGATTGACATGCAATTCTTCTTGAAAATGTCTGCTTTTGTTGACTGCCTAGTAGTGACTAGTTCTGAGTTTAAGTGGTTCTAAATATTTTACCAGAACTTTGCAATTGAAGACGTTGCTGCTCCTAGTCTTTGAGCTAAATGGGTTGCTAGGGGAGACTGCTGCCAAAGGAGTATGATTTCCCCCCATTTAAGGAAATTGTATTATTCTACCTTCCTCTCTCTTTCTCCCACCAAAGTTGCTCACGTGAAGCTCTTCTGAAGGGTGATAAAGCCTGTCATTTCACTAGTAGAATTGGCTGAAACAGCTAACGCTCATGGGAAAAGAAAGACATTAATATTTATTCTACATAAGATGTAAATGACTACAGCCAATTTTTTCTCCTGGGCATAAGCCTTGATAATCAGAGAAAGAAATTGAAACTACTGGCTGCCTAAATACAAGCTAAAGTTGGAGACAGTGTGGCTCCCTTGTAAAATAAAAATAATTGAGTTAAGAAGATACAATAGCATACTTCAAAATTTTGCTTATTTAACTATGTTTTCTGCAATATTTTTTGTAACAGTGTTCAGAAAGCCTAAGTCTTGGGCAAATTTAGCTAAGTATCTTCTATATGGAGTATCAAGCCCAAAGGTGACAATTCAAAAACGCGTAATTTATAATCTAGTTCCTAACAAGGCAAGCATATACTTAAAAGTTAAATAAGGATGTAAGAAAATGTAACAGAACTTTATAAGATGGAACATGATCAATTGATAAATGAGTCAAAGAGTTATGCTTTTAGTTCAAACAAAACAGTAATCTTCATGGACTTCAGTGGTCTGAGAAGATTTTGTAGAGAAAGAGGACTTGCATTTAACCGTACAGCATAGGGAGGGGTCAGGTACTAAGAGAGGAGATACAGGACCAATGCATGGGAGATGACCTCCCACTTGGAGAATGAGACTATCGGTACTTAACAACTACATGACCAGTATTCCTAATCTGAGCCAATTTGTTCTCTGCTGTTTGCACACAAACTTGCCCAGGCAATAAATACTGGGGTTGCCTCCCAGTCAGGCTTTAATCCAGAGAGAACAATTCTGGCTAACATGAGTCATTCCACTGTGGCCCACACTGGCACTTTTCTTTGAGTGAAGGGTTGTGGACACTGTAGCATTTAACACATATTTTACCTAAAACAAATACAAAGCTTGGCACTGTGGAAAACGTTTATTTAGTGTCTCCAATAGACTACTTAAAGAAATTCACACATTAAACTAGGCATGAGATAATTTGCCTCTAAGTTTCTCTTGAAAATGAATTTTATTTCTCATTTTATAGCACTACTCATACCTATATCTATGTATAACTCTTTTGTATTTAGCTTGGTTCCTCTTTTATTACCACGTGGTTTTCTGAGTCCTAAAGTCAGATGATCTCAACATTCTATCTTTAGCACAGCAAATACAACACCGCAAAGAAAAATAAAAGTCTTGGCAAGGTTTTCTCTTCTAAGAACTGAGCTAAAAAAAAAAAAAAAAAAAAAAGATCTGGAAAGGATCAAAAAGCTGACAAGTTTAGCAGTACTGTTTATTCCTGCACAATGATTGATGGTCTTGTCAGTTCTTGGTCTATGGATCTAAAAGGGAAGAAAAAGTCAGAAGATTGCTGTGCTTCAGGAAGTGTGTCTGACTTTCCACCAATATCACTGTGTCACAAGCTAGACCACAAGAGCCAGGAGGTCTCTTAGATACAGAAACTGAAGTGTCATCCTTAGAGCCCTTCATGGGGAGATATGGGGCTGGGAAAACTAGGAAAATTATTCAAAACACTCTTAAAATTCTGAGTGGGAAAAAGAAATCTTCTCTGGGTATCAACAGAAACATGATTTTCATAGTTAGAATATCTCAAATGAGGTTGCTCATAGCTTCTCTTTTATTTCCCTGCAATGATTTATTTTTGTTCAATGTAAATTTCATTAGCTTAAATATCCTTTGTCCACTGCTGGATCCACAAAGCCTAGTCTAGTGATTGGCATATAGTAGGAGCTTAATACATATGTGCTGAGTGTATAAGTATATTCAAGCATCTCAGAGCCATGCAAATGTCATGGTTAATGACATTAATCTTTGAGCACTTGGTGGAAGTGGTGTCCCTCCAAGTTCAGGACTTGTATTCTCCTTCCTTCCTCATCTGTGAGTGAATATTTAGATTAAATGATCCCTTGGTACTTTCCAGGTCTGGCTTCCTGAGCTCATTTTTCTATTTTAAGTTGCACGAGAGTATAAAAACCTTCTCAAATAGAGTATTTATAAATTCAGAGGAGCAGTTTCAAATAACCTGAGGAAAGAGAAAGTACAGAGGGACTACAATTTTTGAAAGTGAGACGTGCTGGCAGAGTATTTAAACTTGTCAGTTGAAAAGGTCAGGGCTCAGGGAACTGGGCTCCTTGAAAGCATCCATTCACCCACCTAATTCACTCATAGGCACCTCTTCTTTTTGCATGATATTTTGTGTGGCTCTGAGGATACACCCTACTTTCTCTAGCAGGGAGCTTAATAAATGCTACAGATATGTATAATTATGATCCAGATGGACTTACCTGTGTACACTGGAGATCATTGCAAGCTATGACCTTGTGATTTGAACTTATTAAATTAATTAAAAAAACAACTTAAATATTCTTAAGGCACTTTGGAAAGCTTAAAACAGTTGACAAAGTATCAGTGATATTAATTTGCATTTAGTGTAGATGGTTTCAATAAAATAAAGCTGTTAAGCATTAAATGGACAGATATGTTCTCTTTTCTTTATTTGATTGGTTTGTGTTGGTCTTCAGTAAGTACATTTTGAGGTCTGGGACTCTCATAGCCAGCACTTCACAGGCCTGAATGATAGCCTGAGGGTGGTTGTCATTAACTGACCTTCAAACACTGCTTTCCAAAACCACATTCATGTCCTGGAGGGTAGAGTTAAGTTAGGGGACAGTAGGAGCACTCTAGGGAACTGTAGTCTGTGTATCAGTAGAACAAAAGGCATTTTATGGAGGGAGGGGATAATTTTTTAAAATAATTTTTAGTGGATTTTATAGCATTTTATTCTGTTAGGAAGGTTTATTGAAGATATTTTTTTTATTTTGATTCTTCTTTACAGCTATTTAGGATTAATGGATGTACAGTATATGGAAGATTCAACCCAAATTTCAAATATAAATCAACATCAACTTAATTGAACAACTTTTACTTAAGCTGACAATGGTCAATGTGTCTCCTGAAGCAATCAAATGTAATTTTTTAAAAAAAGTATTCACTTTTTCATTCTATGATCAAGGGACCTAATAAAATAGAAAGATATCATGAATTTATTGAACTCTGAATTTCA